ACATGGCGACATACGATAATGTATGACGACATATGTGATGCATGATAACAGCCCAGTGTATCGTAACAATACAACTGAAAATGTATTCCAGTACTGCAGTGTAACAACAAGATTCCCGAGTATTTATCCGCCGCTTTTCCGTCACCTGCACTGGTTATTCAGGTTAATTTTTAGGTAAGTATGATAATTTTGATTTGTGACCAATAATAAACATGTATTTCTCTTAAACAAATCCGAACTGTGCTACAAGTGGGTCTCGATATAATGACACGTTCGGTTCCAATCCAAATGGGAGAATGTCCTTATATCGAGAATTAACTTACATACGACAACTAAGCAATATAAAATTTTTGTTCTAAGATTTCTGTCGTTATAACAAGATGTCGTTATATAGCAGTGTCGTTATACGTACGTATCGAGACTCACTTGTATTGCAACCGGATATTCAAGGTTATGCAGATCACGGTAAAAGCGGCGGGCACGTGGGGTGGCTAAAAAGTTCTGATCGTGGACATTTATCTCAACAACTGCCCAACATATTTAAAAACAAAGACTATAGTTGCAAGCCTGAGGGTCCAACGGACAGCTGAAAAATAAGTTGGCATGAATTGACCTGGTAATTGTCGAGTTATGGTTAGAAAGAATGGAAATTTCTAATTCGTTATAGAAATTAAGAACGACGTTGATAATTTCTCTAAACACGCAACATAACAAACCCTCATGACTTGCAAAATTTTATCGCAATCCGATGTCTGTAACAAATGTTTCAAACATCCGACATTTGATTTTAGAATACTGCAAATCACTTTATATGCATTATAACATTATGAATATAACTTTATAAATTCCTATCTCCATACATTTCTAAGCAATTTGCATGATCTTTTTTTTTTTACCCTTTTGCTGTTTAAACAATCTTTAGGAACTGCATAGAGCTGCATGGATTCGTGGTATTAAATCGGAATGTAATCGTTACTATTACTAATAGTAGTAGTAATAGTTGAAATGATCGTCCGCAAAGGCTCAGTCACGTGATATTATTTATGGCAATGGTATATCGTAATTCCGAATCACAACTCTAACGATGGTTTAGACAAATAAAAGAGAAAAAAAGATTGCAAAAATTGCATAGAAGACTGGAGAAATGAAAATTACGTTTAAATCGTTTTTTCCAATCGTCTTAGTGTACCATGAAAAATGGATGCTGCTCAACAACTAACATGTCAACTCGCACCAACTTTTTTTCCACTTGTTCTTCAAAACCTCGAGCTTTAAATCTTTGTCTTTATTTTTAGGTAAGACCAGCGCTTGTCAAGATAAAAATCCATGACCAACACTTTTCAACCACCCCACGTAAATACTCGATTATTCCCGTCAACAGGTTAACCATAATCCTGCTTTTTATCGTTGCGAAACAAAACATTAATGTTTAGAAAATCGACAAACAAACTAAAAATCAAATAGATAGTATAATTATTAATTTTCTAGGAAAAACCAAGAAATCTCTTCTCATAATAGACATAATTTCTTTATATTCCCTACAAGATAGAATAAGACTACTTACATGACACTCTTCTAAATGTAAGCCATAGCCTAGGTTTCTGTAAATATATAATACGAATTATGCGTCACATCCATTAATTGTCGGCAACTCATTTAAAACACTAAAAATTAATATACATTGTATAATCCGGATTTTTTTTATGCGACGTAAACGTGTCTCCTGCGTTTATTTTCTGTCCGATTTGGGAGATGTAATTTCTATTTAATAATGCCAACTTCTAAGCAGAAACACAACGTCAATGTATATTACATTTATAGAACGAGGGTATTCGCAATGGCCAAGAAATTTATCGCCGAACAAACATCTCCCCTTTCCACATTTGTGATAACATAGAAAAAAGGGACAGTGGATTACGTGCGAGTAATGGTCGTCCTAGGAAAATAACCGGAAGCACCTCCAACATAATTGGACAATCAATGACTCGATACCTACACGGAATTTAGCTTGAAAAGTGTCGAATATGGGTGTTGATGTGTCGCACATGACAATTTCGAGACACCTGACCGTTTATGGTACTCGAAAGCATTGCCTAAGTAACTCTTATGTTAACCAAAGCCCATAAGCAAAGACGTGTTGAGTGGGCGCGCCAACACCTCAATGACAATTGGAGGAAGACATTATTTTCCGATAAAACCGCGTTCAAACTTTACCGGAACGTTGGTACAAAAGATCGCATAAGGTGATCTGCCCCCCAAAATACAGGAAATACTGTGGAGGCAGTTTATAATGCACAGCCGAACAAAGGCTGCCGTCGCATATAAACCCTGCCAAGTACACCAACGCCTCCCACTTCTCCCCCGGCTAGACTGTACAGCTAGTTAATTATGTAACATAGTTTAATTAAGTTTTATATGTAGTTTAATATATAGACTTGTTTAATTATTTATTATATGTACGATTAAGTACCTTTTTAGTGCAAAAGCACCTTTAGCGTTCAATCGTAGGTGCTACTAATAAAGGAACGCAAAACGCATAAAATCTTTGCATGTGGCGGATTTGCGCAGTCGGTAAAATAAGTTTATTTTGTTTCCGGAGGATAATGAATGCCAAGTTTTATGTGGAAATCCTCCAGAAACACATTCCGGAAGTAAATAAAATGTTTGGAGATAGGTGGAGACTCCAGCAAGACAACGATCTAAAACACACAAGTCGTCTTGCTACGGAGTTTCTGAAAGAAAATATTTCGGCGGTTATGGACTGGCTATCGATTTAAAAGCCTTTGGGTAATTGTTAAGGGTAATAATAATGCAGAGAGACGAATGCCAAAAAGCCTCGGTGAACTGGAGAGATTTATGGTGGAGTGGAATAGAATGTTAATTAATTTGGTGAAATTAATGAGACGCAAACCAAACATAAACCACTAACTCTTTATTGTTGGAAACCGGAACGCCTTATTATTGGGAAGAATGGAGAACGGATTCCCTATTAATTATTATTAAATGAATTCGGTTGTTTTTATCTTTCAAACGAGTCATTATTTATAAAAATTGGCTAACTCATTGAGGGGCAATAGCAAAATAAAAATACCCGGTTTTTTTTTGTTGTGTTTGTATTTAACTTACTCTTAATCCGAATGCTAGTATATAATAATAAGAGACTTCTTCGAACAAGTAAATAAATACACTAGATAGTCCCGAAACCTAAACGAGGCCTTGCTCGCAAGTCCGCATCAATTAAGGTTAAGATATAAAGTCACACTCGTCTATTGCGCTAAACAATTTAAAATAAAATATTAAACTGTTAATCCCTTAATATATAACCTTTAACCCTTCAAAGTAAGGTAATCTTTGGCTAATAACAAGCCCATATTCTTTTATGGAGGTCTGATACCCAATGTCCGCTTAATCACAGCTGGATGTTACTTTAACTTCCGTAAACAGGCTTATCCAGCTTATTTCAGCCTCCTAAGTAATAGAAACTTCCGTTCATACAAAAATAGAATTATTAGAAGAATAATACTAACGGTAATTCCTCCAAGTCAAAGAGTATATTAATTATAAAAGATCGATTATTTCGACGCGTCTTTTCAAGGAATTTTTTATAATCGCTCTGAGTCGCTCCTAGTGAATGAGTTCGGTTGAATAATTGTAGACGATATATTTAATTGATTTTGCCGTTAATTTGTGTATTTTTACTTGATACCGGACGTAACTTTCGCCGGGAATTTATCTAGCATTTATAAAAGGTAGGGCACAATTGTTCGAATTTGATTGATATAGCATTATTATCTGTTTAGGAACGCAACAATCTTACAATTTTATTAATTATCACGAGCACAACTGTGTAGATAGAAAGCAAGGATTGATATAATTTTGTTAGTTATTGTGTGATATTTTTTAAAGCAAAACAAGTCTAACGCTTTCGTCTAATGGATAGAAGTATTTGAGGAGCAACGAAGTTTACTTACTGAGTGAGCAAATCGGAATGGAAGATTATTGCGATATTTGAAAAAGTAATAATAAATTTAGTATTTATAGCTTTACTTATTACGGATTTCTTGGTGAGATGCTGGGTATATCTCTCCGTTTCGTAACATGAGGATCGACCCGTTTAAATGATAAAGAAACCTTAGAAAGGTAATTTCCGTCAGCTGGCATTACCAGCCGCTAGGAATATAGTTTATATATTGAAATGAGAACTTTGTCGGTAGAATTAGGACGAGTCATAATGTAAAAGCTTGAGAGATTAAAGAATACCTGAATAAATATAACGGAGGCTTTCATCGATTCTATAGTGCGGATAGCTCGGTCAGTATGACGCTGCTAGAAAGGATAGTTCCGCCATCGGATGAAAACTTGAATGGCTTTGTCGAAGGTAAGAGTTCGTTATCATACAGCACCAGGCATTGGAAAGCGTACGAAGTATTGAATGACAGCTTCGCAGGCTAGGGTTTGGGAAGAGCAAGATGGGATCTGAAAAAGGGAGAGGGTGGGGAAGGTTCATCAAATCTCATTAGATAATACAGCTGCCGCAAGACGGCAGATAACACACAACGCACTGCTGCCAACACATGTCAATGCATATGATTGGTCAATATACATATATGTTTTATAAAACAACACACACTTATAGCTGTGCGCCAAAGACAAAGATCGTGTAATCGACAGGAAGACAATCGCTCGCTTCTCGTGGGGGTTAA